TGACTATTGTAACTCCCTCCTCATTGGCCTACCTCATCGCAGCCTATCCCCTCTTCAGTCTATCATGAATGCTGCTGCCAGACTTATCCACCTTACTAACCGTTCTGTATCTGCCACCCCTCTCTGCCAATCCCTCCACTGGCTTCCCATTGCCCAACGGATAAAATTCAAATCATTAACATATAAAGCCATTTATAACTCTGCCCCAAATTACATCAACGATCTTGTCTCTAAATATCACCCAAACTGTACCCTATGCTCCTCACAAGACCTCCTGCTTTCTAGCTCCCTTGTCTCCTCCTCTCATGCTCGTCCCCAGGACTTTTCCAGAGCTTCCCCCGTCCTCTGGAACTCTCTACCCCAATTTATCAGACTATCGCCTACTCTGCTCACTTTTAGGCAATCTCTGAAAACCTCTCTTCAGGGAAGCCAATCCTGCACTCAGCTAATAATAGAATCTTCAACTCTAGCAACCAGTCCATCCCCCACAGATACTACCTTTTGTACCACTAGCCACTCCCACCTAGATTGTAAGCTTCAAGGAGCAGGGCCCTCAAATCCCTCTTGTATTTGTGTCCCTATTATATTGTAAAGCACTGCGCAAACTGTTGGCGCTATATAAATCCTGTATAATAATTCCGATAAATGGTTGGTTTAGGTGCAATCTTATTTCACAAAGTAATGATGACTGAACAGGTTTCCTTGCAGGTAAATTAATATTTGTGGCATTCTCAAAACTTTTGGCCAGGGCTGTACTTTTTTTTTTTTTTTTTTTTTTTTTTTTAACGATTGTACATGAAGCATTTGCACCGGGTGCTGGTCTGATTACACAATAGTTTTGTGCGCAAAGACTAGCAAGTATCCTATTGCCGTCTATTGTACTTTCTGGTAGACATGTTTGCATAGTTGAGCTAGCCACAGGTACAAAGTGGTTGCCTGACATATAAACAAGATCTGACCACCTTCTGGCCTCTGTACCAGCCATCTACTCTAGAGTTAAAGAAAATGTAAACTCAGAATTTTCTATTCCTGAAATGTGCCTGCTATATCCCGTACTTGTATGGAAAAGTATCCTGTTCTTTGTATTGCATCCTTTGCGTGAAATCTCTGGTGTTCCTACCTCTGCTTTCCTATTAAAAACTGACCACACTAGGCAGAGCACAGCCAGTCACTTATCTAGCTGTACTAGGAATTAAGAGTGCTATCCTCCAATGATCAGACTTATTCTGATATTCCCTATCTGCACAGCCTACAACTGGGCAGATCAGTGCAGTAATGTTTCTCCGCCTCCAGCTCTATATACAGCTGAAAACGGGGGGGGGGGGGGTATTTATATGTGCATACACAAATGTTTTGCCTTTCATTTCCATTTTAAACTGAATGGGTTGTTTTATTAGGTTAGGGTTCACCATCATCAGGTAGCCATTTAAAGGGTTACTAAACCTACAACCGTAAAATCAGTCTGTGATTGCTTGTTATACTCACTGTGGAACTTAAGGGGTTAATCCTCTGCATTGTGTATTCTCTAATCCTCCCATTCCTCCACAGTCCCCATTTCAAACTGATAGAACAGAGCCTTAGAAAAAGCTCCCACATGCTCAGTTTAGTGTGTATTGCTAGAGTGTTTTTACTTTTTCTTGGGAGGATGCATGTGATCTGCACAGGGCCAATCAGCACTGTCCAGACCGAGGGTCAGGGGTCCTGCAACCCCATCAGACAGTAAGAGGAGAATCAAAATTCCTCTTACAAGCTTTAGCCAGTGCTTAGCTGGACACTGGATACAAGTCATAAGCTTGCTATATACTGATGATGAGAAAAGGTATTTAGAAGTTTATATTTATTAACATAATTGCATTTCCATATACTGTGGGAAACCAGTTATAGTGAATGCAGGCTCCTGGGTTTAATATATATAATTTTTTTTTATTATTTATTTTTAGTAAAAATCCCTATAGCAGAACACTAAAGCTTTAAAAAAAAAAAAAAAAAAAAAAAAAGGGCGTAAACTATTCAATTATCCCCAATTGAGCTGGGGAAGTCATGTTTGGCCCACTGCCTACAGAAACCGGCAGGGGGTGGATACCAGACCAGACCTCTACACAAAGAGAGACTCAGTCTGTACCACAAAAAACTCCATCACAGAAATAAAGTGCAGTTGTTTCATGCTTAATTACTGCACAAAATACACAAACGAGACCAAGATTTAAGTAAAAATACTCATGACTAGTTTTTAGACAACACTTTTCTAGCCCTGATTTCAGCTTTACACACCGCTTAGTGTTTGGAGAACTAAGTGTTCCAAGCATGGAAGATGTTGAAAAAGGGAAAGCAAGTTACACATTTGCCTGTTTAAAAAGTGAATACTCATTGTTAACATGATGGTAAAGTCTAGATTTTTTTTTTTTTAATAAAACATACAGTATACTTACCTGATCTGTGCAGTGTTTTTTTTGCAGAGTAGCCCTGAACCCACTTTTCTGGGGTCCTGTCGACATTCCCGGCTCCTCTTGTGTGCCCAGTCCTGAGCTGTGTGCACATCTATAGAGCAGCAGAGCTCTGACCAACCTCACAGCTTTTAACTGTCAATAGCAGGGGCCAATATTGAGGTGTTTTACATTAAAGCAGGGGGTGCATTGAGGAGCAAAAAAATAAGACACCCAGCCTTTAGAACCACTTAAAAGGTGGTCGCATTCTCTGCATAAGAGGTAAAAAAAAAAAAAAACAACCTTTTACACGCAGCTCCACCTAGATATGAAGCATCTTCCCATAGTGTGGGGGGTTGGGGAAGTGCCAGGAACGCCAGTGGGGGACCCGAGAAGAGGGCTGCTCTTTGCAAAACCACTACACAGAGCAGGTAAGTATAACACGTTTATTATTTTATTGAAAAAAAAATCCCAAGCTTTGCAATCACTTTAACATAAAATGTCAGAACATGCATTCTGGAGAAAACCCCCTGGAAGGAAATCATATAAGCAGGAACTTTCAGCCACAGTGGGTAATGTTTTGTAGTGTTGGCTTAAAACTAATCACGTAGTGAATCACGTGGTGTGAATAGGACACAATTTTGAGCCACAGATATAATCACACTGACTGTATTTAACATGCCAAATAGAAGGCATAGAAAATAAAAAAAAAAATCACCCAATATAATACAGAACAGTAAAACTGCACTACGTTGGCCAAAGAGTAGAGACCTTATTCAAACATTTTACAGTAAATTGACCTAGACATTTACAGAGCAAAATCCTATTTGAGAAAGACCTTGCAGACACTGCCTTTTCCAACACGTTGGAATGTTAGGTCATGAACTACATATTTTAGCGTACCACCCCAGAACCAGATATGACACAAGACATATATTCCATCTCATAACCCTTGGGCTTTTATGATTTAGATCCAGTTACTGCTGGATTAAATTATAATTCTAAAGCCATCATGTGCTGCAAATGACATGACTGCCAGAAACCAGTTATATCACTCAGTGCTGCATTTACAATGCGAGTCTAGAGCAGAATTACATTCTTGTTGGTAGTGGAGTTGAAGGAAACATGTAGAGCGCCATCATTTACCTCTAAAACATTAACTTGCCTCTCATTCTACTCACAGCTAAAATGCCTAATGAGTCGAAGTATTAAGGCAAATCAGTGTCAACCAACTAAGACTTCATGAAGAGACCTGCTAACCTGAAATGAGAGAAACGTATAGGCTGCCATTGCTGATCACTCCAGAAAATAACCGGGCTGTTATAATGTCCTTATTTGATGCAACGACCTCTAGGAAGTATGAGGATAAGAATTTCTGAATATTCTGGATCTGCTTGTTTGGTCCAGGTCATGGATTCAAAGTACCCATTATTAAGAATAGCTTTTTTCTATATATAAAGTAATGGTGTTTACAAGAAGCTGTTGATGCATCTGGTTTATTTTTCATAGCTATAATTTTGACCTAGCAGGAAAGGGGGAGTTTGTAGAAGTCATGTTTGCCTCTACCACTTCAAGTTACTGCACCTTATGTAAAGTCTGGCCCATGTAGGACAGCAGTTGGCTATCAGATACACAAATTAGTACAACCCTTATGTTTTTCTACACTTAACACCATAGAGACCGGAACATATATAATTAACAATTTTATAAAGAACAGTCTTAAAAATGTAATACTGTTTTATTTGCCTCAAAAACATTTCAGCATTCTAAACATAAAAAAAAAAACAGAACAATGCAATTTATAAGCACAGAATGTTTTTGAACTCATATTCCTGTACTCAGTCTTCACTTTAGAGTGAAGATATGCCTACAGTTTGTTTAAAAACTACTGCACTTCTCTAAATTAAAAAAAAAAAAATTATATATAATAAACCCATACATTTCTCATGCCAGCTGAACTCCTTTCAACAACTAAACAGCAGAATTCTAATTTCACTATATACAGAAAAAAGACAACTTTTAAGCTAAACTGACGCCCGATGTAGTGTAAGTCTTGACGTGCATGCTTTGGGCCAAAAATGACAAACCCTAAAAAGGATTTTTGTTTTTATAATCCAGGGATGTTCTTAAACCCTGAGGTACTATCAGCTCCAAAAAAATATGCACCATAAGAATTTGTCTAGTTTACAGATTACAGATATGTACAGTTTATAACCCAGGATTTTCTAAATAACCATTTAGTAACACCTTAAATTAAAATAAAAAAAAAAATGCTTGAAACATTTTTAAATGCTTTGATACACCAACAGCAAAGTGCACAGAGTGAGGAGAACACTAGAGCGCCCGTTTTTAAAAATGTTTTGAAATATGTACAGCTTTGATACAGTTTCAGATTGCTCATTTTACACACACAGCTATGTAATGTAAACCAGTTACAACTCCAAGGAGCATCGTTTTGAAACTATTATATCAGAACCCAATTTTTGCAATTAAACCTAATAAACGGCAGTTGACCATCATATAAAATGGCAGCCGAAGGTGGTTCCCCTACTCTATGATATTCACAATTGTACAACTTCATTCATCATCCTCTTCCTCCTCATCTTCCTCCTCCTCTTCATCTTCTTCCTCGTCATCTTCCTCCTCCTCTATTTTTTTCCTGGGAACCTTAGGAGCACCTTTAGCGCCGTCAAGTTTGCCTTTGGATTTGTAGTCGGCGACATCCTTTAGGAAAAAAATGTGGCAAAACGTCAGTTACCGCATAATAAGCCTTATTTAACAAACTGTCCTTAAGTAACACTGTCAAATAGTGGCCAGATTCAAACCTGCACTAGAAAATGATTGCTGGAACCTGGTAGTTTGCTGCGAGTTGGGCTTTACAGCAAAATTGTGTATTAAAACAGACTGAGGCGTTCATGATCAACGAACACAGTGCTATACCTGCACTGATCTTAAAAGGTAGCAGTTGATTATCTAGAAATCTTTTACACATTTGGATATATGGGGATATATAGATTTATATTATCTTTAATAGAAGTTCTTTCTACAAGAAGTAAAAAAAGTGTCATTTACCTTTTCATATTTCTCTTTCAGCTTGCCAGCCTTATTGTTGTAAGGCTGCTTCTCGCCATCACTCAGGTTGTTCCACATTTCACCTAGTTTTTTTGCAACATCACCAATAGAGATCCCAGGATTTGTGGATTTGATTTTAGGACGGAATTCTGAGCAAAACAAAAAGAATCCAGATCTAGGAGAGAAGGAAAAATGTATGTAAATGGTTGCATCCAGAAATTTTTTTTCCGACCTGCAGTTTTAAGGGTGGGGGCTAAAAACACTACATTTTACTTACGGTGGCCTCTTTGGGGCATTTGGATCCTTCTTCTTCTTGCTTCCCTTAACGGGTCCAAAATCTTTCATTTCTCTATCATATCTCACTTTGTCTGCCTTTGCCATATCCTCAAACTTAGACTTCTCTTTTGCGGACATAGTCTGGCAAAGAAAAAGCAGTTTTTTAGCAACCAAGTACTCAGTTAAAGAAACAAAAAAAAAAAAAAAAAAAAATATTCTTGTCTCAGCATTTACCTTCCATCTTTCAGAGCACTTCTTTGAAAACTCTGCAAAGTTCACAGGGATTTCAGGATTCTTCTTTTTGTGTTCCTCACGGCACGTCTGCACAAAGTAGGCATAAGCAGACATCTTGCCTTTGGGCTTCTTCGGGTCACCTTTAGCCATTTTGAATCTGTAATCAAATATCAAAATCAATACTTTTAATAGAAAACACTTATAAAAAAAAAATGGATGTCTGTATACGCTACTAAAGATTTAGAATATGTAGCTTTCGATCATCTGCACACAGGAAAGAAACGTGTAACAAATATTTAAAAGAAAAGCATTTTCATTGCGGACTCCAATCTCAAAAATGGTATTTACCTTACGGTCATGCATTGGCTTCAATACATCCTGAGCAGCTGACCCAAAACAGGCATGTAGATCAGGAATTAGAAGTCCTTATCTGCATACCTGTCCCAGAGGTAAATAACTAATGACTGTAGTATATAGCATCACAGTAGGAGAGGTCAGCAATGGCAGCCCCATGTTACCCTCAAGGCAATAAAAAAAAAAAAAAAAGGGCCGACTTTAGTGACTAAAAAGGTAGGTGGTGGAACCCCCCCCCCCCCCCCCATGGATGATGTGTCAATGCATAGGATTGTATAACCAATCTGTTATCGAAAAAGGTCATATGGTATATGAGAATGAAAATAAATAACACACACTTTAATGCTTCAAGGCTGCCGCATGCCTCATCCTCCAAAAGTTCCATCTTATTTGTAAAAATATTCCATCTTTAGTGTTCCTTCAGCAATCTCTCCAACTACATTCTTCTTCAGGTTTCCAAAAGCTTGCTGAAGGAACACTAAAGATGGAAATTTCTACAAATAGAGATGATGGAACTTCCGGAAGAAAAGGTGTGCGCCAGCCTTGAATCAATAAAATTTACTATATTGTGGAATGTCAGGGTCAGTCTTGCTGCAAGCACCCAGAAATACCTCATCAGATGGCTCACCTGTTTTCGGTTTTGTTTTTTCCCCCATATATAGCACACAAAATTACACACACACACACACACACACACACTCTCTCTATAGAAATAGATATAAAAGGGGGAGTTTGTATAGAAAAACAAAAGAATCTGGCCCCCAGGAGAGGTCAGTAGCACTGACACACATATGACAGGTTCACTTTGCAAATATGCCAATCCGGCATTTTGCTGACTGCAACTGAGGTGCAGTACATGCCAATGATCTGTGGGGGGCATATCATATGTAGATTGGCCAATGACTGCAAGTCACTTCTGTCATCATAGCTCCACCCACCAAACTGACCAAAAATAGTCGAGTAGTAGCAATGAAATCTCTACATTCTTCTCTAATAAAAAGGGAAAAATGCTGAACAATTTAAAAATAAAATACAATTTAAAAACAAAATAAAATAAGGGAGGAGGGGGTCCTCTGGTTACCCTGAAAAAAAAATTACTTTTAAAATAAAAAAAAAATGTTTAAAATATAAAATGAATAACAATGCAAAAATAAAAAATACAGTAGGGTGAGATAAGGTCAGCAACCTAAAAAAAAAAAAAAAAAAAAAAAAAAAAAAAAAAATAAAGCCTCCCCCCCCCCCCCTCCCCCACACATAATATAAATGTGTAATAATAATAGTACATAATGGGGTGAAGCGGATGGTGTGTAGCGCCGCCGTAGTCCGTGGCGGGCACAGCCCCAGTCTCTCTCTCTGCATAGAGTCTCTGCACTGGGAGGGAGAAGCGGGGACAGGTCGCCCATAATTCATCTTCCATTTTGTGGGAAGGTTGTTGATGAAAGAAAGTGCGGGTGTAATGTGGTGTGGAGTGGGTGTGGGGTGCGAGGTTGGGGGTGGGGTGCCCGGTGTAGCCGGAGAAGCCTAGAACCCCCGATCCCCCCCCCCCCCCCCCCTCCTCCTCCTCGCCGCTCTCTCCTCCGCTCTGCTCTCCATTCAGTAAAATGGCTTCTTCTCGTCTCTCTTCTCTATACATCTCCTGCATCACACAGCGCGCTCTTTCTCCCCGGCCCCGCTCCGCTCTCCCACCACCGATCTGGCCCGGCTCGGTGTCCCCGGACAGAGCAGGCGATTCTCTGTCAGGATCCGTTGTTTCCGTAGCGGGAGGTCCCCCAGGGAGGGCGGTAGTGGCCGGTTTTCGGGGCGCCCCCCACCTCTCCGCCTCCCTCGTCGCTGAGGCTTAGCGCAATCCCGTGTATAACAAAGAGCTGCGATCAGCCATGACAGGAGGACGGGGGAGGGGGCGGCGGGGAAAAAGTACCGGCACCGGGACACCGCACCGCCAACAACACCCCAACTGGCGGGAGAGCGGAGGGAGCAGGGTGGGGAGTGAAGTGGGGGGGGCCGGGGGGTTCTCGGGGTACGTGGGGGGAGGGGAACATTACCGAAATCCGGGAACACACATCGCAGCACCGACAGGGAACAGAGGACACCGACCAACACACCGAGGATAGAGGAGAGGAGGAGGAGTTTAGGGGGGGGTCACCTCATAACCAAACCCCCCCTCACCCCTCCCCCTTCCTCGCAGCACAACAAGGAGATGACAGGGACAGCCATGATACCGCAGACACACCGAGCCCGCCCGTCCACCCGCCGGGGACCACACTCCGCTCAGGGGCCACACCGCACCTATCCATAGGGACCACACACACCGGACGCCCCGTCTGAGAGCTCCGCACACAATACACCTCACAATTCTACCACACAGCCGACCTCCTCCACCCCCCCGACACACACACACCGCCCGCCACAGAACGACCAGAGGGGTGAGGCCGGGGGTCCCCGCAGCTTGCCGTCCTCCCCTCACACACACAGACGCCGCCGGACCTACCTGTATTGTTCGCCTGGTGTGAATCCTGCGCACGCCGCTCACAACTAAAAGCTTGGCTGCCAACCTCGCGCTAGCTTACTACGAGACCTAGCTGATTGGCTGGAGCGCACTCCCCGTTTAAAACAACCTCCCAGCCCGATCATTGGGCCGGCGCCTCATCAATATTCACCACGCCCAGCCGCCCCATTGGACGCCGCTCCGGCTACGTCATTCATTCAAAAAGAACACCCGCCTGGGGACATGGAACGAAGGTGCAAAACACGGGCAGTGTTTTCCTATTGTAATGTGTGTGCCGACGTCACGCTGTGTACACTGTATGCAGAGCCCAGCGCTGAGCTCCCATTGGACGACAAGGCACCTTCTATGGGAGGCTGGGACCAACATACTGAAAGAATTCCTCTTTCTAGGGTGGCAATGGGTTTAACCACATATAGAATACGAGGATAGGAACTTCTATACAAAATGCATGACAGGAAGGTTTCATAATCGCTCAGCAGGCAGCTCTCTGCCACAATAAGGCCCCATTCATACAAACATGACAATATTGCTGGACAAGGGGGCAGAAAAATCCACCTTCCATAAAAATTTTTTTAAAAAAAGCCCTTTTAGCGCATAATTACATCGGTTTATGGAGTAAAAGGGCCAGGTCACATCACATGAAGTCCACTGTTTCATCTGTATCAAAAAACACATGGAAAGTAGATTATATGATGTCCAATGGCATAGTTCACACAAGTGTGCTCTGCTCCAGAAAAAAAAAAACAAAAAAACATGCTGCATTTTTCTTGTACTGAAGACAAAAAAAAAAAAAAAAAAACCACATGTGCAGAAAATGCATCCAGAACAGATCTGGATCTGCATTTTTGTACCATGAACCAACCCTAAAAGTATAATGTACATAAACTCATTCTGTTCTCTAGTGGACATCTGCACGCCACAAATATTCCCTTAGTTGTGGATGCATTCGTTCACTGAAGATTTTTGCCTCGTTATTTTGAATGGGATTTCTCATCTTTGGAATTAATTGGTCCAGGTGGATTAATAAAAATAAAAAAAATTTGCAGCGTTTCCAGAAGATTGCTATAGATTAAAATCGGACAAAATTTGATAATTCCAGCTGCTAGTCCAACCCACCAAGAGAAATGGCATGAGCCGATTGGACAATATTGACTGGTTTCATGTACACATTAAAGAATGGAATACAATTCATTCCATTTGTTATCCAAAACCGAATTATTAAACAATTTGAAAATTGAATTTCCCCACACGATCGCATCATGTGACGTCACCCAAATGACAAATGCATTCAATAAATTTTGTTAAAAAAAAATAAAAAAATAAATTGTTTTTTGGATTCATTGAGGATTTGTTTCTATGTCTATTTGAAGAATTGGATACTTCGTTTTCTGGACGAAAATTTGATTTTCGGTGATTCAGAATTGTAAAAACACATGTCTACTGGCTAGAATAGTCATTGATTCCAGGTACTAGACTGCATTGCATTTAAATTTTTATATTTACACGTGCATAAAAAACACACAGAAGCAACAAAAAAAAAAAAACCTAAACAAAAAAAAAATAAAACCATGCTTCTCTGGGAATGCAAGTTTTAGGTTTTTTTCCCTAAAGACCCTGAAAGCAGCTCGCAAATACCTGCATGCGGATGGACATTGACATACCTGCACTCAGAGGCAAAAAAAAGTCAGATCTGGAACAATATAAGGCCCCATAAATCAAATGTGAGCATAGTCGCTTGAAAACGTACATTAGCATCATACATTTTTTAATCCAATAAACTTTAAAATGACAGTAAAAAAAAGTGAAACGCGTGTAGGCATTTTTTTTTTTAAACTGTTTTTCCCTTAGTAAATAACTATCCGTTACACTATGGGTTTTATTTACTAAAGCTGGAGTGCCCAAAATCTGGCGCATTTGTGCATTATAGCCAATCAGCTTCTAAACTCAGTCTGTTCAATTAACCTTTGACAATAAAACCTGGAAGCCGATTGGTTTCTGTGCACAGCTGCACGCTCCAGTTTTCGAAAATCAACCCCTATAGATC